CTCCCGCCGGGTCTCAGAGCACGTCAAGGCTATGGCTAAAGACGCCAACCGCCAGGCTCTGTGCAACTTACCCGAAACATCATAGATACTGTGATTGAGAAACAACCAGTAAAAATACATAACAACCACACTAGGCGGTCGGGCACACCATTCACAACGAAAGCAAGTCACGGCAGGGATAACTCAACCATCTTGTTCAACGTCGATGTATCGACAGACTAACTGTCGATCGAGAGAGAACGGTTTGACGGCCAAATGTGGACCGACCACTGTCAGATGCCGAGGCCCCCTTCTTTCCCTGCAACACTGTTCCGCCTTTCTCGTGAAGGTCAAGCATCCCAAGGTATGCCGCCCCTACGTGTGACCCTGAACACTGCCAAAGGGGCCGAGGACACCTTCCTTTTCTCGCGACAACCGGACGTTGTCAGTACCTGCAAAATTCGGGCCAGGGCTGACAAGCCATGGTCAGTGAGAGAGGAGGGGAGAAATCAGCGGTTGGAAATCCAAATGGAAACAACGCTGTAGTTTTACATGGGATCTCAGAATTAATAAGTGACCGCTGGGCCAAAGATTGGTACTACCACGACGCTCGACAGTGGCAATGGCTCTCAAGCAAAGTCGGTCTCTACCATATACCGGCCAACAGCGTCAGTAGACTGCCTGAGATAGCGCATCTGAAGTCTATAACCGGCCCCAGACTACTCGCCATCCAATTCGACTCACATGCCTCCCACACAGACGTTCTACAGGCGTGGAATAAGGCAAAGGACAACACAGGTGGCTCACTGCGCATGCAAGAAGAGAGATAGCAACCGCCAAGGCCTCAAGAGTTAGCGGTTTTCACATAAAAACTGACCGGTGGGTCAGATACATCGAGTAAAGAAGCTCCCACTGCTATAGCCCCCAAGCGAGTTAAAACTAAAGAACAGAAAACGCAGCGACACCAGCCTTAGGAGGAATGGTGGCGCTGGACCCAACCACCTAAGTGCCCTCCTTGCGAAAACGTACAATCAGTTCTCCTTTCTCGCCAGGCACGCTTCAACACGTATGTACAACGACGTTAGGGGGTCAAGAGGGAAGGCAGTGGAGGTGAGGACGCTGCGTGAAGGTCGGCATCCTACCGTCATATTTATCGCCGAATCCTGGCTCTCGCCAGACATCTCGGATGAAGGGATGTATGTCGCTGGCATAGAACTCTTCCGCAGGAACCGAGAACTGAGGGCAGGGTTGGGGTGGCCCTCTAAGTAAGCTCTCATTTAAAGGCAAGAGTGGTTAACGACATCTCCTTAATCCACTCCCCACAGCTAAGGAAATGGTCACCAAGGCAGTCTTGACGACTTCCGCTGCAGATTAGGATTCCTCTATCATTGCCAGCTACTTCGACACCCGTTCTACCCTCTTCTAGACGGAAGGGAGGTGCATCAGATCCTTCAGTCAAAAGCTGAAGAATGCAATTAAGATTGCTGGTTTCTCAGAGAAAGTGGGCAGTGCCACACGCTTCGGACCTTACGGAAACGCGTCGCGCCTTCACTACGTTCTGATGAACGATGACCTCATTGAGGATGTATGCATTCAACCTCCCCTTGGCCTCAGTCAACGCTCAGTGAGAGCCCTCTGTTTGATTACTATGGAGGTCCTGCAACTAGAGACGCCCAACACCTTCCCTTGCTACGGTAGGGCCAACTACGAGACCATGAGGGACTATCTCACGAGTGCGTCATGGCTGGCAAACTGGACCCATCCCACAATGGATGAACGTTGGACACATGTGGAGAAAATAACCTTTTGGGCCATCAGTCACAGTGGGCCAGAGGTAACATACAGATCGTCCATGAGAACCTCATGGCTGAAGCGTGGGACAGAAAGGCTGACTCAGAGCAAGAAGAAGGCCTGGTTCAAGTGGCATTCATCACTCATAGAGTCTGACTTTCCGAACCACGAAAGGATTCGAAACCTTTGTGAGCGCGTAGCGGCAGGTTCACCTATCAAACAAACCGGGCGGGGAGGTTACAAAGCAACCCCAAAGACCCACACCACCTCATGTCACGAAGGAAGTCGACCAGCAAGAGAGTGGATTTTATCACAGGTCCTGATGGTAGTGTGCTAAGCAGTTTAGAGATTGCTGAGCTTCTGGGCTCACGCTCCCAAGCCCAACCAAGTACAGGCACCAAATCCACACCGACTCGTTGAACAACCGACGAGGCCACAAATAACGAGTACCCCGCCACATCTCAATCACAGAGAAACTCTGTGTCGGGAAACCATCTAGGCTACGTCCAGGCAAGTCTCTTGGCTGCAATAGCCTAAGACCGATGACCCAAAAAAGCTGCACCGGAGTGCTTGAGAAACCAATCTGCAACCTCTTCGAGCACTCAATGAAGTCATGCCAACTCCCTAAAGAACGGAGGTGCGCCATTGTAGCGAAAAAATGTTCTGAAAATCCCTCCTGGTCACCCTACTTGACACTATTGACATTTATTCTAATATTTTCATCCTCGTTATGGATATTGTTCCTTTGACTCCAGTTGATGTAATGTTGTTTGGTTGTTCAGCTATCTTCTTTGACTTTGTAATCAGTATTTGCCTTTGTATGAAGGAGATTTATCATGAATGTTCCACTTTCCTATTATACGATGCCGGACTGCCGACAAAGTGACGTTATTTTATTGAGCCCATTTTGTTTCGGTTCAACTTACGGTTGTACTGTGGTTTGACTGTTTTGCTTTTGTCTGTCTGCTGGAAACTTTTATTTGTTGATTCGATTCTTGTGGACAGAGTTTTCAAACCCTTTTGTGAAGACTACTCCCATTGACTCTCAGGTACTTAACAACTGTATTTGTTTGCGCAGTTTTTACCGTACAGTACGTATTTGTGCCCGGAAACGTTTGGACTGTACGGTTACCCAACTGCACTGTTGAAGTATTTTTGTAATTTTGGTATGACATTATGTTACTTTGATAGTACCACAGTATAACGCAGGAACTAGTCAGAATCGCGTTAGTAGGCACCACCTAGTTATTTCCCGCTTTCAGGCCAAGTTTAGTGTATTTTGTCTGTCTTGTCACCCATCTTTAAGGGAGGTGACGGTGAAAGCCCTGACAGCTACAGGCCAGTTGCTCTACCCCCTATGGTGCCGAAAATGTTAGAAAGCCAGGTAGCTGACACTATCTGGGAATTCCTCGATAGGGAAAACGCTACGCATACTGCTTAGCGTGGATTTTGGTGTGGTCGCTCATGTGCCACCAACTTACTAACCGCCTGAGATGGCCGAATACTCAGCTGGGACAACAGAAAACCGGTATTTTTTGTTTTTCTTTACTATGACAAAGCATTTGGCAGTGTCCCACCCGTAGTCCTGCTTCACAAGATCACGTCAGCCGGTTTCAGTGGACCCCTACTCTCTTGATTCAAGGGGTACCTGGAAGAGAGGCATTTCAGCATCAAAGTAGACAGAATGAGGTCGGGGTGAAGACCATCGGTTTCAGGAGTATCCCAAGGAGCAATCCTAGGACCACTTCTGTTCCTCCTATCCGTCAACGATGTGCCACACAAAATATCCCCATCCATCCTTCTCTTTGCTGATGACCTTAAAATTTGGAGGGTGGTAAGCGGAGAAGCCTACTGTACAGCACTACAAAATGGCTTGCAGTAACTTAAACTCTGGTCTTCAGGGCATGGTCTGAGCTTCAACCTGGAAAGGTACAAAGTGAAGCACATCAATAAATATGAAACAAGCATGGCCGACTTCAAGCATATTCTGAGCAACTGTGCTATCACCGGAGTATCCACGCGGAAAAGTTTGGAGCTCAACGTCCCCAACACCTTAAACACCAGCTCCAGCTACAAAGGTATGACAATGAGATTGAACGCCACTTTGCACTTTCTGCGTAGACAGCTTAGCAGCCTCACCCCGAACTCCTTCTCACCGTTTTCAAATCCTGTGTGCAGCCACACCTAGTGATCTTCAGCACAGTGCCCCCCAACACTCAAAATGGACTCTAATCCCCTTGAAAAACACAAAGAACCGCAGCAAAATCATTTGTGGGCCTAAGGGGGAAGGCATATCCTGAAAGGCCTAAATACCTAAACCTGCTCACCTTCGGATATCATAAGAAGAGAGGTGATCTCGTTATGACCCACAAGATAACCATCAGGCGAACCATGCAAACAAATCAACCTTGTCCGCAGCATAGCGGTCTTCACGAAGAAAACCCATTGGGATAGCACATCGGACAGACAATACCACACTCAAGTTCGATTTTTCTCCTCAACAGTATGCGCTTTATGGAATATCCTATCGGGACATATTATCACAGGCCCCTCAGTTGACTCATTCAAGAGACTGTAAGACAGTTATTTCACCTCGCATGGTCTACCACGGACATACTCAGGGAGTCACCAACCTCACTAGCCCACCCCCATATCCTTTCTACCTACCACTCACTGTCCCGCTCCATATTATACCCACATTACCCGGCAATTCTTCCCTAGGAAATAGACTTACGCCATTCACTCTTACTTATCGGGAAACTCCCACATACCTTTCCCTCTTATTTCTCTTCTTTACCCCCTCTTTTTCTTCTTTTACCCCGTTATTTTTATGCTTCGCCACCACTTTACCATTCCCACTCAGGTGTCTACACAGAAAGGAGTCACGAGAGTCTCATAACCGTTCCAGCGACCCATAGCTTCCCACTCACTCTACAAATTTCAACCTACTAACCCACAAAACATCCACCTCACCGAGGCTGAAAGCAAGAAAGCAGAGGGGATTTCCTCGTTTGCTGAAGGAGTGAAACGAATATATCGAACCAAGCCTCAAGAAGTAGACGTGAGAGATAAAAAACTATCGGTTTTCTACGCTCGCATTATCAATATTGAATATTGGACGGTTGCTTATGTAAACTGCGCAGTGTTCAATCTCATAATATGTATTAGTTCACCTTCTAGTTTCCATTTTTAGACTACCTCATCTCTTCGTTGTCAAGCTCTACCATCTGTCAGTTACTTTTCGTTATTAAATGTAAGTAAATCCTGCTTACTTGCTGAGACTCCGGCTCATCTTTTTCTCTTTCTTTTTTCCCTTCCAGATTCTCATCGCTACCATTAAACTCACACTGCTCTGCACGTCCCCTGCAACAACGGACCTAGCTGCCTACCTACCTAAAGACCAGAGGGAAACGTATCAATAGATGGTCGTCATACATGCTGCAAACTAAGAGCTCTTGGACACCGTTATCTAATAAAGGTGCAAATAAAAAGGTTTAGTTCACCACATAATCGTGCTATTTGTTAGTTTTAGCTCTTTGAGGAGAGGAAAAGCTTAGTTTTATCGTGGGTAATTAGCAATACACGACTTGTAGCTTACTTTACCATAAGTTCACCAAATGGTCTGAAAGTCAAAGAGAACTGGTTCTAATAAGCCTTCTTAACTTATGCAGTCAGAGACAGCTGGAATCACTTTCTCATTATGTTGAAGACAGAATACCTGTGTATCAAGTCGATTTTACAAGGACACTACCGCGAGTTTTATGCATTTATATATTTTCCTTTCTGGATCCTCGAAGTCTTTGCCGTTGTGCTCAAGTGAGTAGGAATTTTGAGCCTTCATTTTTAGCCATTTTATTGGATTAAGATGCCCATGATTAGTTTTGTATGTTGGTCATGAACATTTAATGCTGAATTTTAATGTTGGCATTTGATATTTATCTGTTCTTTATGTTGGTTCTGACCATCATTTATTAAATCAGTGAAAATGACTTTCATTAAAATATAAGTCCTAAGTAATAAAGAGAGTAGAATAGATAGTATATATCTGTCTTTTCAGATAAATCCGGTTTATGGAATTTCCTAAAGGGAGAGGAAAGAAGAAAAGAAAAGGATACCTCGGAAGATTACGTATAGTGAGAAATAGGAAGAGTGATAATTTCACAATGATCCTACTTGACTTATGACTGGTTGCTGAATATCAAACATAGTCATAACTGAAAAGCTGAAAAAAGCAGTCTGCAGAGAATTATCGAGAATGTACGTGAACGACAATGTAGGAAAAATATTCATGTAACTTAACGGTGATTTAAGGTCAAAAGTGACACTTCACGTGAATTTTATTCAATTTCATATTTTTGGTTTGAGAGTAGAAGGCTTGGAACGTGTAACAGTCATTTTCCAGTAGGCTGCTGTACTTGTTTGGTCACCACTTGAGTGGGTCAGTTTATAATACTGACAACGCTTCTTCTGTGTCAAGAGTTGGTTGCTCGATACGAAACCAGTACAAAACGAAGACAACATTTATCCTTGGCTTTTGTACTCCCTTGCTGTCTTTTGAAGTGTTCTGACCTAGTGGGACAAACAGTAAACGGCAAATCAGGTCTGAAGTCATTTTAAAAATCTTGTACATCAGGGTAAAACTTGCTCACTGTGGCAGAATGTAATTCTATTCCAACTGATTTTTTAGATTTGTCATACAGTGTAACGGTATTGTTTACTGGATCAGTTTCAGATATAATTTGTTGTCCATAGTCATATCAAGATAAATGCACAACTTTGAAACGTCCTTTGTAAGGGACTGGATGTGTTACTGTAACGAAATGCTGTCATTTAAGAGTAAGCTTGAAAGGACAATGTATTTAAATAGAATGTGAGTGATTTTACGGAACAAGTTTGTTCAACCTATCTGGCTGATATGGGTGAGCTAGGAAATCTGAGGATGTGCGCGTTGACCAGCACGATGGGAGCGTGAAATGGCGTCGAAGCTTGCTTGGATGCATACTGGTTAAAACAAAACCTAAAACACCTTAAGCATATAGAGGCAAGCTAAAAGTTTATGTAGTTAGTAATTAGTTACCCAGTTTGGCCTATTCATTTTGGGTCTAGTTGTATTTTGGTGCCTGGAAGGTAAACTACAGGTTATCCTCTCCCTAGAAGGTTCTTGGGACACCTGCAACCTTCGACCCTTGGAAGAAACTGCGAAGTGGACATGAAACACCTTTCCATATTGAGGTGCAGCAGATGGCGTGTGGGTCTCCGAAACTGGTGCAACTATGAACATCTGCGAGATAAAATAACTTTGAGTCTTGACGCAACCCTTCTAGGAGTGATAGTAGGTAACCCAAAGCTTCCGTCTACCTTTCCTTAGAGAACCTTAAGCTACAGCGGAAAATGTACAAAAAAGAATTCGCATAAGAAACTGGTGAACAATACAATCGGTATCGCCTATATCCAACTTGTACCCAATGGTAGACATCAAAGTGTAAATTTCTCTGTGTGCACTTCTGTGTCCATTCTCCCCATTTTTATAAGAAATTCCTTGTAAAATAGTCAAAAATAGTCAGTAAACATGAAGGTAATAGTATAATCAGACTTCTCTAGATCTCATATTCTTAGACGACGAAGTGATGAAGTCTGTTAGGCGTTTGGGCCAGTAAACACTTCCACTGTTACGTGTAAACGGTGCTTTGTGACTACTATCAGTGATTGCTTTGCTACGTGAGTCGCTGTCTTTTTGAACCAAGACGTCTTTCTTAGTTTTCTGTACCGATGGCTGTGGTGATGATGCTAGTACAAGCAATGTTGGGTTGTCATAAGTATAAGCCCCACGGTGTCTTTCCTTCCTAACCTATCTTTGGTGAAGAACTCTTCTTTAAAGACACTTGAAAGGTCCATCTTATGGTGGTTGTAAGGGTTTCCATACAGCAACAAAACGCACAAAGATATGTGTGCAATCTTGAAGTCTTTTATCCAACTATACCCTTCTACACTGTATTCGGATGGATGGGGGTTGGAAACTACGCATATGAGGTTTAAGGGTTTACGTATAACCATGGATGTCGATGAAAGTTGGGTCAGTACAATCTGGAACAACCAGTTTACTGCGCAAACGTAGGTTACTTCCGTAAACCAACTTGGCAGGAGTACACTGTATATAAGTCTTAAGTACAGAACGAAAGCTAAGAAGAACCAATGCCAGCGATTTGGTCCATTTTACATTGTCGGCTGCCATTAGTGAAGCCTTAAGATGTCGATTAAAGCATTTAACCGGACCGTTAGAAGCTGAGCGATATTCCGTGGTGGGAATGCGTTTGAGTCTGAACAGGTTAGTCAGCTTCTGGAAAGTAACAGATCCGAGTTGTTTCCCTTGGTCAGTAGAAGGACATCCAAATTGAGAAACCCATCTTTGACAAACAATCAACTGACTGTTTCAGCAGTACTGTCTGATAATGTGGTGGCTTCTGGCCGAAGAATGAACCTGTTGACACATGTCAAAATGTAGGACTAACTAGCAGAGGTGGATGTGGGCCAACAATATCTAGAAGGGCATGGGCAAACCGTGAATCTGGTTTGGCTGGAGATCCAAGTGTTGTAACGTCATGTTGATTCAACTTGCAACCATGGTACTGAATGCATGACCATGTCCACTTTCGAATGTCATAGTTGATACTTGGCCATACAAACTTACCAGATATCAGTTTGTCAGAAGCATATATACCAGGACGTAACAGACTGTGCAAAGCATCAAAAATATGGCAACCCCGAGGTAAAGGAATAACCAGTTGGAGTTCCTGTGGATATGTCGCATTGGGTTGTCCCCTAACTGTGCAGAAGCGGTACATGCTGTATCTATAGGGAGGTTTCGTATTGAAGTTTTTCCACTTCCTCGTTTGAACCCTGAAGTTGAGCATTCCGAGAAGAGACCTCAGAGAAATTACTTATGATTCTCAGTAGGGTTGAGATTAGAGTGGCAATTAAACCTACAAACTCACTAAGAAATAAGTTTCGTAGATTAAAAGATCCTATTGATCCACTTGAGCAGAATAACTTAGTTTACCAAGTGCCTTGGAATGACTGTGAGGTCAAATACATAGGTCAAAGTAGTCAACCGGTATCAATTAGGCTATCCGAGGGCAAAATCCTAGTTTCTGGTAGATCCTAGTGAGGTAAGGAATTTAAAAAGTAGCTCAGTGATAGCTATGCATGCGACTACACACAACCACACAATAGGTTGGGACAAAGTGAAAGTCCTTAAAATTAACCTTGCAGCGTGGAGGGAGAGATTGATAACGGAATCTTTGTTCCTCAAATCAACATCTAACATATGCGACAGGAATGACCCAGCATCTGTTTCCGATATTTGGAAAATCTTACTATCCATATCACAAAGGAAGCGAGGAAATTAGGACTATATAAATGATACCTCAAAGTTGTGTAGTTATCATGATACTACTATAGACAGTGAATTGTGTCCGAAATGTAATCCAGTAAACTATATCGTTACATTGTGTGATAATTCTAATAAATCAATTAAAATGGAAAATCCTTTGTAGTATAATTATTTTTCCTGTTTGCCAGCTGAACGATGAAGAGGAGGTTTAGCTCCTCTAATACTTCCTAATAAGTCAAGCTATTCATCTCAGAGACTATATAAATGGCTGTCCTCTGAACTGTTTTAAGGAGGTCTGAGTCACTTTTCAACAAGGATTCGCTACTAAAAAAAGGATGTTTACAGGGTGGTAAACACCTTTTCTTTGTCCTGTTGGAGGTTTTACCTAATGGTTGAAGTATCCCAAAGTTGTGGAGCCGCAGCTCATTGGTTTAGGAAGATGACTCAGTCAGTGGGCCATGGGTTCGAACGCTGCTACACCTACCGAGGTCTAGGCAGCCAGGTAGGAACATTAGCCGTCACACAATAGGTATGGCTAATTGCCTACTGCACAAATAAGTACAACGTTGCTGAGTGCGTTTTGACTTCCTCCTGAAACTCCTAACTGCAATCGATTACCAGTTCACTGCAGTCTTTCAATCATGACTCACTAGAACTCTTAAGTCGTTGTGCGTCAATATTGAGGGTAGAGGAACCTCATCAATATCATAAGCGTTATCATCTGTATGTTTTCACATTTAGCTGATTTGACAGACATGAACTATTTCTCTGACCACGTCAACGAATTGTCCAGGTCTGCATGGAGTGTGCATAAATCGTTGTTAGATCTTATTTCTCACTAGGTGGTTGCGTCATCAGCATGATACAGTTCATTTATTTATAGAAGAAATATCAGGGGGTCGAGGATCTTGCCTTGCGCGACTGCATTCTGTACTGACTTAGTAGAAAAGAGCTTGCATCCTGATGACTAGGAACTCTCTATCCCTGCCAACAATTCCGAAAATTCCCAGTTTCACGAGCAACCTGGAGTGAGGTGCTTTATAGGGCACCTTATTGAAGTTTATGAAAATAAGATAAACAGGCATTCTATAGTCTTTATTGATGACAAATAATTATAGAAGGCAAAATAAACTTCAAAATGATGGATGGTATTAATTAAAGTTGAAACAGGTCACATTTCAAGGTTTTTAACTTCAAGTGAACCAATAACGGTATCATTGGATGAGGAGATAAACTGACAAATAAACAACGGACTGCTGTATAACTGTTAATCTCGACACAACAACGGTGAACAGGAACAACTTCAGATAATAACTAGCTGATTAAATTTTAATCTTGCCTATCCATCTACTTATGTCAGTGTTTATTCACCTTAAGTTCATACTCATGTGAAATAAAAATTAGCTGCTACTTGCACTAAGGCAGC